ATATATATATATATATATATATAGATTTACTGTTAGAAATATTCCATACCAATCACAAAATCTTAAATATTTCACAAAAATATTATTAAATGTAGTTTGGTATTTCCTCCACCAGGGGAACGAAGAGCTCTTTCAAGACAAAAGTAATTTGTGTGGATACTATGAATCTCTCCAAAATAACTTTATCTCTCTTCTGGACCATGTTCGTCTACAGAATGCTAGCGAGAAGCCCACGCATGACAACTTTGATAAATACTGGTTAAGACTACAATCACTGTGCAGCGACACCTACCGGGAAGACAACAAAGCCATATTTACGTCAGTGAAGCAAACCCTTCAAAACTTTACAATGCCTCTGTGAGTAGCAAACAGAAATTTGATTAAACACAGCCCGGTCTGGTTTGAGTTTTAATTTTTTTTAATGTACCTTTTTTTTTAAAATGGAGTAGGTTACCTGAGTTACCTTGTTACTCAGCCGTTCTCCAAACACTATACGTTATCAAAGAGTCTGTGACGAGGTTTTGGAGAAATATTATAAATTATCACGATCTTTCCTCACATCTGCTGCCACCAGTAAGTTGAGCACTCATATAACTAAGATAGGGGGTTCGATCCCTGCAGTGGGCACAGCTCAGATAGCCCATTGTGTTTAACAATAATCAAACATTTGATACTAAAACAAACGACGACACTGTACCGTAAATACATCGAAAAGTCTTCATATTTCGTGTTCTTTCTAATTTAGTTTGTTTGTTATTGAGCATAAAGCTACACATTTCCTGTTCGTTCTAGTTTTGTTTGTGTTTTACAAATTTTATGTTCTTTCTCCGAAACCTCATCCAGCTGTATTTTACTGTTTCGTGGTTCAAAGTGCACTGTATCTTTGTTTTATTCATTAACTATCTATACGTTATGCAAAATTAAAAACAGGAATACCATAACTCCCGATGAATCTAATTGCCTAACTCTCCTCTTTCGTTTTATTTGCAACCTTCAAGGCTTAGCTAAAATATTTTGTTATTTTTCACGTATTTTGTAATTTAGTTAGTTGTATTTTATCTTCTGTTTATGCTTATTCGTCAACTTGTCTTATATAGGCAGAACCACCCAGCTGAGTGGATAAGAACCTAAACGTTTTAGCAATATTTACATCATCGAAACACATCATCCGTGACGTCATTTCACGAGAAGCAAACTGTGCTGGCCATTGGAGATCAGGCATTTCTCACCGTTAACAGCAGCAATCTTCAAATCTTGTTCGTTTTTGTACTCAACAAGAAATGGAGAGAAACTCTTTCTTTCTAACGGAATAAATTATTTTACGAGTTGAAGTTATTAAAAGAAATACATTATGAAAGCAGTTTTTCTTAGATAATATGACAAAGAAACATAGAGGACGCTGCTTATTTTCTAAAGCGAATTGTGATACTGATTGCATTTGAAATAAACATTTCTAGCGAACTTTGTATTACTTCGAAGCAAAAGAATACATCGCTTCAACCAAACCGACGGTACGTCTCTGTAGTTAGACAGCCAACAGTCAGCTGCGTTTTACACGACTATGTCCAGTATGGTTTTACTGCTGTGTTTCTATGTCTACCTAAATAATTCACATCGTGTTCATGCTTTAATTTCGTATCCCTCACTGAGTAAGTACTGATCAAAGGTGGACAAGATCGTGTATAATTAATTATACTACTCATAAGACTCTAGAACTAGGCCTGTTTTGTTTGTTTGTTTTTCAACAAAGGTAAAATTGGAAATATGCTTTCTGACTTATAGGCCTAATATGTTCTTTGATTCGCAACACCCTCTGCTGTGGACTGCAGTTTGGCCTATTAAAGGCTTATCAACACAGCTTAATAAATTTGGCGTTATGCCACAATATTATTCATACACCTAAATTAATTTAGGTCACTAAAAGGTGAGTGAAAAGGACTTACAAACTCCATAAATAAAGTAATTATCATTATATTTATAGGCCATGCATCGACTGGAAACTTTTATTTACATCTTTAATATATGAGTCATACGATTAATTCAATTAATGTTTTTTAATTTCTGTTTTAATTTTAATGGTAAACGTAATTTACCAGCTGTAATTTAATAATTTGGGCTTAGGAAAATTTATTCATATATTTCTAGTTTTCTTGTCACTGAGTGGATTTATCTAACATCTACGTTTTAATTAGATCTGAAAAGCTTAAAAGTTTTAGCACTGCCAAGAAAATTTAATTAACCGTAAAATCTCGAAAAACAAACTGTATAATATTCTTATCATTCACGCAAGTACATTTATCGCCTAGTTTTTGTTTCTAATCAAATATTAATTTATGTAATTTGTCCATATAAAAGGGTTTTCCATTTTATCTTGAAAATATCAAATATACAGAAAAGTTTATTAAAGAACAAATCAGCTCGTTAGTTTGTTGATGTTAATTGAACTATTTTCGGAACTTATTTTCTTCTATATTCAGGACACTATTTTGGAAGACCAGCAACCTAGTTCATGTGTGATCAACTGTCCTAAAAAATAATTTTCAAAATATCTTCGGTATTAATAAATAAGAAGATTTTATTTGCTTAATTTATCTCTGAGTTTTAGCTGTGATTAACTTTCATTTAGTGTAGGTTATTTCACTGGGACATTGATACATAATCATCTATCCTGTATTAAAAAAAAAAGACATCTGAATTGTCAGTAAAGTATGACACCTGAATTGTCGGTACACAACGCTCTAAACTTAACACTTGAAGTATGACACCTGAATTGTTAGTACACAACGTTCTAAACTTTAAGTATAACAACTGAATTGTCAGTAGACAACGTTCTAAACTTAATACTTGAAGTAGGACACCTGAATTGTTAGTACACAACGTTCTAAACTTAATACTTGAAGTAAGACACCTGAATTGTCAGTAGACAACGTTCTAAACTTAATACTTGAAGTAGGACACCTGAATTGTTAGTACACAACGTTCTAAACTTAAAACTTTTAGTATGACACCTGAATTGTCAGTAGACAACGTTCTAAACTTAACACTTGAAGTATGACACCTGAATTGTCAGTACACAAAGTTCTAAACTTAAAACTTTAAGTATGACACCTGAATTGTCAGTAGACAACGTTCTAAACTTAACACTTGAAGTATGACACCTGAATTGTCAGTACACAACGTTCTAAACTTAATACTTGAAGTATGACGCCTGAATTGTCAGTAGACAACGTTCTAAACTTAATACTTGAAGTAGGACACCTGAATTGTTAGTACACAACGTTCTAAACTTAATACTTGAAGTATGACACCTGATTTATCAGTACACAACGTTCTAAACTTAATACTTGAAGCAGGTAAATATCAAGAAAATCTAAATTAGGAAACCCTTTTTTTAATTACAGCCTCGCCATTAGGTCAGTGATAAGACTGCGTGCTTTGTTGCTTAATCAGTACACGTTAAAGTAATAAACTGTTTTATGATGATTAGCATAATAATGACCAATGTATTTAATGGTTGAATGGTTTAGAAAATATTTACAACGTTTTCATTGTTTTATTTGGATATATAAAATTATTTTAAAAGTTATAATATTATATGACTCTCGATGACTGAGGCTTGAATAACATGTCGCAAGGTGTTTATCTGTTCCTTACGTAAATGAATTATGACATTAAAAGTATTTAACAGAATAATAATATAGAAAGATTTGGCTTCGATATACTGTTATTCAGGTAATTAAGAAAAGCGCCCATTTTTTAGTGTTGAGTAGTCGTTGAACTCAAAAGATGCTGGAATTACTTTTTGTATCGTAGTCATAACAATTCAAGTTGTAATAAGGTCAACTGCTGCTATAAGTAGACGAACGCGGATGAATATACCAATCCTAAGTTTTTTAAACATCTAACCTGTTTTGTCAACAGTTTAAAGAATATATATTTTTGCTTCATTGTATTCTTTATAGGTTTTTTTTTTTTTTTTGGTAATTGGAATTGTTTTCACGATAAGGTGTGAAGCACGTGCTTAAAAACGAGACACAGTGTACCGTTGTAAAGTTAACCGGTAAATAAGTTACCCAAATATACCATAAACCAGTTATCATCGCCACCTTCCAAAGTTCAACCAACCACCTTAACTACAAATCGGGTGGGCAAAGCACAGACAGCCCATTGTGTAGATTTGCACTTAACAATAACCAAAACACCTTTAATTTAAACACGTATATAAAAAAATAAGAAATAATATATTTCAGCGTGTGGATAATTCAACAAGCTGATTACATCACATAAATGAATTAAATAAATTAATTAATTGTAAATAATGTAGCCTAGATTTGTCATGGCTCGGGGACCACTGTTTGCTCTAATTTCTACTTTGTGGAATATATCGCGTTACTCTAGACCAGGGGTCACCAAACTTCGTGCCAGTTCAACTACAGTTGGAGCTCATTTATTTGCAAGCAAATGACTTGTTGAAAGAGAAGCACAGAGAATCAAAACTTGTTGAATTTTATCGCTGCTTAACTGATGAAGAGTTTTCAAAGTTGAAGAACTTTCCCTCTGGTATGGCATCAGTGTTTGGAACAACTTAAGTCTGTGAGCAAACATTTTCAAAAATGAAGTACGTGAAGTCAGCACATCGAACGAGGTTAACTGATGAACATTTGAAAGCAATCCTCTTGGTTGGATGCAGCAATTCCAAAGCAAATATTGATGATATCTC